ATGCTGCACGCTGGTTGTACTACATTTTATTAAAGACACACACACACACACACACACACACACATCAGATTCACTTGCAGACACTGTGTTCTTCTTGAATATGACTAGATATCCTCCGTCTGTTTCACTGGCTTGTCCTTCTAGGTTTGCTTTTAAATGAGAATAATAAGGTGAGATCAATATATATGATAAGTATTGAACGGACTCGGGCTACATCAGTTTTAAATCCATTGAAACTTCAGGAAGTCGTTTCAAGCCTTTCCAAACGTGCAACACACCCGCTGTGCCTCCACCTCACCGAAAGACAATTTGCTAAATGTTTGCTTCTTCTTCTACGTCAACAGCCTCTTGGTGGAGTCTCGTTTACAGCTTTACAGACTCCTCAAATCACTCTCACACGAGACGAGGAGGATTCCTTACGCTTCCATTACTCCCCTAATACGATTTGTGTAATGTAATATATTTGAACACGTCTGCGTCTGCTGACATGCTAGCCACACTAGCTAGCTTCTGATTAGTCTTGATGCCGGATGGTTTGGGAATCCCTGCAGGTATCAGTTGTGGTTCTTTGAGTTGTTGACTCTCAAAGCCTTTCTCCAATTGTCTTCTACTCCCAACCTCAGGAAGAGGTGCAGAAAAGCACATTCATGAGAAAAAACTGGCTTACTAAGCACCAGTAGCTGACGTTTGCTTGTATTATGTTTGTGTCGTGCACACTGTAATTACCTTTGGACAAGCTCCGGTTTGGAACCAACATTCTTGGCTTCTCAAAAGCTCACCCACCCATTTAATTCCACCACTGTCAACTGCTCAGGCTGGTATGCACTCTGAAGCCATGATTATTTGTTTCTGGTCAAGACACACTGTGTTTTATGTACTCAGTAGTACTTTACCCTAGGGTCAAGTCTAGGGTTTGTAGAAAGAAAATAGATTGCTACTGTGAAACCTCTGTCCCTGCTTTGAGAATGGCTATATGGGCATTTTAACCTCCAGAAATGGCAAGAAATATTCAGCTAAATTCATCACCACCGACTGGGAATTTCAAGATGTTTATATCCAGTGACCAACTTGCAACAGGTATGATCTATGTGCATGCAATTAAACTGCTTGATTATTTTTTTTGTTCACCAGTATGGTTTTTCATGCAACTTTTGTTAGATGCTGTAAATATGTCAAAACTACACGTTGCATTAAAATAGAGGGAAAAATTGTGATCAGAGCGGCAGACTCTACTGCTGTATCTGTCATTTTCAAGTTTTATGTCATGTCCTGCCTTCTGAGAGCCCGACCCATCCGACAAGGAGCGTCTCCGGCTGTTAGGTGCACGTTTGAACAAGGAGGATTTTTTTTGTCTGCCTGAGATTTTCTAGACATTTTCAGGTGTGCGACATGGGGAAAGGTGCATGTTCCCCAAAGCAGATCTGAATGATTTATATGAAGCCAAGGCTACTTTGCTTAGCCTGCTGCTTCATGCATCAAAAAGAATCCACACTGACCTTTACTTCATCTGAAACTGTGGACAAACACACCTTTCAGTACAGGGCATCTCTGCTGTCCTTGTGTGCAGCAGAGAGCATTTGTTTTTTTTAGTCACTGCTAAGCCCTTTTGCGGTCCACCACTCAGGGCTCATCTCCAGCACAACAAAGGATTCCATAAACACCACTATTTGCAAGAGGTCAACTTGATTCATAATCTATTAGTGCCGGGTCAGCTTGCCTATTCAGCGCCAGTACCCGGCCCGTTCAAGTTTGACATGCTAGCCTGCCTTGCTGCCGAGCTCTCGGATGACGAGCGGTATTCAGGGCTGTTCTGCAACTTTTGTTCAAATTGGATTGATAGCATGAGTCAAGGAGGAACTCGTCACATGAATAATCAACTCAGAGTGAGTTATTTACTGACCACCCATTCTCAGCCACATATGTGTCAGCGTATATACAAAAACAAGCCGTCTACACAATGTTGTACTCGATGATTTAACGCCCTCCTCCCTCAAATCTCCTCATGTATAAAAAGTTTAACATCATTTAAAAAGCAATCTGGTGGAAACAAGAAGGCAACCCCGTCTGCTTGCTTTTTGAATGGTGAGGTGTTAAGCTTTTCATGGCGACATCTATCTCTCGCCACCTTCAGGGCATCTTTTAAGCTGAGGAATTTAGCCATTATGTGGCATTAACCTCATTAGAAAACACTCTTTAGCTGCTCCAAGATAAAATTGATTTACAGCTGCCATTTCCACCACTGCTCTCGATCAATGGTTAAACTATCCCTATTATGGCCCCGTGCACACTCACTGCTCTTTTCTCCCGTTTTCTTTAACTGTTCTTTAATTTCATCCCCCTCTTCTCCACTCTTGTCCTCGTGCCAGGTATGTAGTCACAGAGTGGAAGAGGGTTTCTTTAAGACGCCGTATGGTCAAATACATTTCTTTTTTTAAAGTGGATAAACATGATGGGATCACTTGAAGATTCCTTGAACTAATTAAGTGCGAAAGTTGCTATCTTTTCTAAATGTCAGTGTGTCACTGTGGCCGGCTAAATTTGTGTGGGTGGTCTTAATTTAGGTTACATCTCGCAAAATATGCAGCGATATAACCTCAATGTGTTTTTCTTTCCAATCTCACCAAGGTTGGTGTAGCAGCTATTCACAGTTAAAGGAATGCAATGGGGCCTAAGCAGCTGCAGATGCATGGCCGTGTTTGAAATCAAATAGCCCTTGGTTATTGTGGTCTTGATTTTAGAGCGTGGGGGTTGAATTGGTGTCAAGTTGTGACTGTCGTTATGAGAATATAAGTCCCTAAAGGGGAGCTTAAAAATGGACTGAGATGATGTAGGAATGCATCATGAATCCATGTCGTTGGCCTTTTAGGGTGAACCTGTTGAACACAGACCCCGTGCCCCTCTTTACAAACATCATCAACACACTCTCAGAGATCTCCTCACTTAGCTTCAAATAATCAAGCAAGAGAAAAAATATTGTATCTTTGAGGTGGTGCCCTGTTGCCAGGTCATTTTGATTTTGACCATTTGATTGACAGGTGCATTCAAATCAGGAAAGGCCAGTAAGTGGACTTAGACTTGTGATTCACAAAGCTGTAAGAACTTGAAAGGTACTAAACAATGTCATTAATTAGGTAAATATTTCATGGTATAATGGGGACTTTAAACTAGTAAACTACAAAAGTGCAGTTCTGTTCAAGCAACGGCCACAAGTTTGCCTGTTTCCACATGAAGTTGACGGGTAAGACTGTGCACAGCCAAGCCAAGCAGAAAATCCACAATCCATGTCTCTGTGGCCAAAATGTCAGTATACGCCCGCCCACCTCTTGACAGCTCAGGTTTTATGTGGACGCTTAAGCAAAACACGCAACGCTGTATTTCTTTTGACGAATCAATACGACCACCATTTCAGCTCTCCTGCCTCCCCCCCTCCTCCTCCCTTCCTTCTCGTGCCCGCTCCTCTCTCATCTCCCCTCAGTCCGGGAGAATTGATCTGCATGGATGGAATGATATCAACCGGCAGATAGAGTGATACGCCCCACCCCACTCCCCCTCCCTTCCTTCCCCTCCTTTCACCGCACTTTTGACACATAAATAAAATATGTGGCCCTTTTTGTTTCGATTCGCCTTGGCGTTAGTTTTGAGAGAGGGGAATATGGCGCACGGGGATCACATGGAGCTGTTGGTAGACAAGAGGGAGCTGAGAGTCGGCTGGTTGCCATCACTCACTGTTCACAGGCGCCCTACAAAATCCCCTGAACTTTCCGACACGCACATTTATTAGAGTGACGCAAGTCGGATTCTAAAGAATGGCATTAGAAAAATAATGTGAGTGCTAAATTATTCAGGCATTTTTTGGTGCCATAACGCCTCACTTTACAACCACACACAGCTGCACACACACACTAACGCACGGAGACATATATAAATATCCTCCCACTTACATCTGATCCATTTAGTGTCAGAGTCCAAATTTGGCCGAGGAGGAAAAAAGATGAGGGAAGGTGCTGTGAGAGGAGAAGAGTTCACTAACTCTGTCATACTTCTACATTAAGATGTCAAATCGCCCATCGCCGCTTTAATATCAGCTAAAACAAATCACTGCCATGGCTACATGTATTAACAGATGAATGCAACATGTTCATCCACACCTTGGCTAGATATTCCCTAATACGATGGCAAAGGCATTTCCACAGCTGGACAAGAAATAGCTGCTAGGTGAACTAACCTCGCGTCCTCAGAGCATGCCAGAGCGTCAGGCCCCCGGGGTCACACAGGCCGGCAGGGATTTTCCACGCTGGAGAAGCTTTTTTAGACTCTAACCCTTCCTCATGCTGGTCTCTGCTTTAGCCGTATTCTTTCCCTTCATCTGAAGCCCTCAAACATAGGTGAAGTCACACATATCCACAAAAAAAACGTAGGCGGCGGTGCTCAATATATACACAGCCTCTGGTCTGGACAAAAGAGATAAGAGGCAGCCAGCTAGGACTTAAAGATAGACAGGGTAAACGTACTACCATGGATAACTGATGGGATTAAATGGGAATTATCTGTTCATATGCCCATGCAGACTCTCTGTATGTCCACACACGGTCGGACGGCCCAGCCAACTGCTTTGCATTGTGTGTGTGTTTGTCATTATCACAATCATCCTTATCGTCACAGTGACCGTCATCATCACCTCACAGATGGCATCGTAGTGTGGATTGCGCTATAGCCTGCTACACGGACCCATCACATAGTTCTCCTCCTTTGCTTGTTTTGCTCTTATTTCCTTCCCTCCTCCCTACCTTGCTTTCCCTCCTTTCTCCTTTAATTAAGTTTTTACCAAACTTGAGCAAATAAAAACCTGAAAATCATTCCGCAGTTTGCCATTTATCTCCCATTTCACACATGTGTCCTTTCCCTTTTCCCCTCCCAACCCTCTCATGTAATTTCCCCCCACTTGACCCCTTCCCTTTTCCCTCCCTCCCGTACCTCCCTCCCTGAAAGCCCTGAGTCACCTCAGACGTCGGGTGGGGGGTGGTTTCTTCGACAGCGTGACAGTGTGCTTAGCCCCGTTAAGCCAGCCTCAGCTTCTGCTCAGCTTCTGGTCGGCACTGATCGGGGAGCCCTGGGAGAGAGAGAGAGAGAGAGAGAGAGAGAGAGAGAGAGAGAGAGAGAGAGAGAGAGAGACGATAAGGAAAATGCTGAGTTCACAGCCACCACTGCTCCTGTTCCCTCACTCCCTCCCCTCTCTCTTGCTTCGAGCATCCCCTCCTCTTGTAGGGGTTTCCCCCCCCCCGGAAAGAGGAGGGGAAGGTGAATCGACTGCTGCACTGACGACTGTATTGCGATAACCTCTAAACACCTCCAGCTCTCTCTCCTCATTGAACACCTTCAACAGATCGCCCACTAACTCTCCATCCTGCTGAATGAGTTTCACTTTGAAGTGTTTCTATTTCTCCACCATTTAAATGTCTGTTCAGTTTCCTAGGCCTCTGAACGAAGTGAAATCGTCATTTTGCTTTGTACAAAAAAATATAACTCTGGTGATATTCCATATTACTTATTATCAACATATCCCTTGAGGAACAACAAAACTGCCAATTTGCTAATCCCTCTCTCACATATTTCATTATCCCCACTGTTTAGCTCCAACTCAGGACAAATCTCTTAAAAGGACAACCATTTATTAAAAAAAATAATAATAAAAAAAGACACAGCTTGGAACTGTGATAATTAAAAAAAAGTCTAACATAGGAGTAAAAATTGTACATTTGTTATTTTTTCTCTAATAGATTCACTTTTTTTTCTTTTTTTTGGCAGCTTTTTGGTGAAGTGGGACATCCTAAAAAAAACTACAGAGCACATTATTCTATCAATAAATCAACAGGAGTCAGAGCAACAGTTTTGCTTATTGATGTGGATTTTTTTGTACAACAATGCAGTTAATGGATTACACTCTCTGAATTCACTATAATTCAGTCGCTTTTTGGTGTTCTTCAAACACTTTAAAGAATTTTAAAGAAGTATATTTTGAGGGACATATTGACCTTTGCTACATTTTAAAGGGAGAGTCTTGGTGTTTTTTGATGTGGGGTTGTATGAGGTACTTGTCAATTGTGCGTTTATGCATTAATATCAAGAATCACAAAATAACTGTCAGAAATATCCCAGATGAATTTTATACTTTAGACCCAAACAGCTGATCTGTGTGCTGCAGGTGCTGCATGTATAGGTTAGGGCTGGGTATTTCCCACAACCCCACGATACGATACGCATCACGATACAGAGGCCACGATATGATACATGTCAGTTACTCTTCAAATTCTCTTAAATCTGCAGAGATGTACCGATACACACTCCAGCTGGTTTGTCATTAAAGAGACTTACCAGTATCTATTGACAAGAACCTCATGGGTCGCACACACACACACACAAACACACACAGGACAGGTAGGATGCACAACAGAAGCGATTAAAAAATGTGAAGTTGGGTCATAGGAAACAGCGATGAGATATTTATTTTATATTTTCATCTTTGAATATTCAATGAATCATAATCGTTAATTGGCAGACAATAAAAAGAATCCGCTCTAATGTGAATTTCCTTTAAAAAGCATTACATCTCAATCGAGTATTAAAGGATCAAACCCCTCTGAATAAAGCCGTTATCAGAGAAACAAAAGGAGGGGAAGACAATGAGATGTAAGACGATTCATGTATGGAATAAAAAAAAATAACTAAACCATCTAAACAATGAAGCTACAGTCATGTAAAGACAACAGAACCCTGCACCCACACATTTAAAGAGTGTCCATGAATGATCTAATGTTAATAAATTAAGAACAAACATAACGTGTGTGATAATGCTATTACCTCCGACCATCTCTTATTCATTTTTTTTTATAAAAGGTAATCCTCTAAAGGCCACTTGTTTCCCCTCGCAGTCTGAAAATTCTTCTCCTCTGCATATTAAGGTATAAAAGTGAAGAATAATCAGCTCCTGCTTGGATCTGCAGCTATGTATTTAATGCATTAGATATCCAGGTCATTAAACAACACTCTGACACCTCGGTTATTTACTACCCCGACCGTTTCCCACCTCGTTTAATCAGACTTTTTACGAAAACCCGCTGACTCAGAGAAACCTTTTTTTTCCCCTCTCTGCTCTGTTTATGTTTATCTCCTCCGCTCGCTCCATTCTGCTCTCTGCTTTTCTCTCCTTTCCTTTTTTTTCTTTGCTTACTTACTCATATTTTCCAAAACGTCTATTTCTTAAGTGTATGTGTGTGTGTCTGTGTGTGTACTTCGGAGCAATTCAGCCGCATAAAAATCACAAAAGAACAAATAAAGAGAGGTAGAGAAAAGGAGCGGAGTGTTTTTCCTCGCTCATGAAAGAGTACAGTTATCAAAGGCGGAGAAGGTCTCAGCTATGGTGTTTCAGCAGCAGGAGTGTAACTTAAATCAATGCAGCGGTCAGGTGATAAATGTGTCATTCTGTGATTTTCGACATGTTTCTAGCACCGGAGAAACTTTGCAAAATCCTGCGTTGCTCCATTGCACGAGAGAATGATATTTAAAAAACAGCCAAAGTGAAGAGCAGCTTTTTTCGCCCTAGAAGCGGTTTACCTTCGATTTTCTCTGCTGGGAAAGGATCACTTGAGACAGGAGGGGGGAGGTGGATTGAAGTGAATAAGATGTGGCTCAATACCAGTTATCTTTAATGGAGGGATCCTGGATGAAGGGATTCAGGAAAGGAGGGAGGGGGGAGCAGGGAGGACGGAATGGGGGAAAAAACAGAGATGTAAGTGTTGACAGCTGTGTTTGGTGTGGTCAGCGTCCGAGGTCAGGTACCAACAAACACACACACACACACACACACAAACAAATGTTCAAACGGAGCACATATATTATCTGTCCCCTCGCTAAATGGAAGCTGGATGTGTAATCGTTCCCGCCATCAGACATCTGATGTCAATTTCACACAGCGACGGGACCCTCTGCAAGCTGCTCTGTACACCAGCAGCACACGTAAAGACACACACGTACAAAAGGTGTACTGACGCTCATGGGTCCCCCCCCCCACCCCTCCTCTTCCCGTAATGTTTATGTCTACCCCTCCCTCTACACACACACACACACACACACTCACTCACACTGGGATAAGTCATGAGGAAATGGATGCCCATGTTTTGTGGGACCACCTGTTCATCCTGGATACAAGTCTAAGAACCCAGTAAGGGTTAACCCTCTTTGTGGGAAGAAGCCAGGATACTGTGTGTGTGTGTGTGTGTGTGTGTGTGTGTACGACTATATACGTGTGTGTGTGTGTGTGTGTGTGTGTGTGTGTGTGTGTGTGTGTGTGTGTGTGTTGTGTGTCTGAGCATTGGCAACGCCCTGTCTGAAGCGTGCCCCATGATTGGCAGAGTGGCTAAGGCTGTCCGGCTGGGAGGGAACAGAGCCCACTGCTGGACCACCTCCCCGGCAACACACACACACACACACACACACACACACACACACACACACACACACACACACACACACACACACACACACACACACACCTAATCCTATGTACATTCCATGGGGAATGTCTATCCTCCCCATCATCAATCCTGAACTACCTGCTATGAAAAAGGAGGGATGGAAAGGAGAAAAAGAAACTAGGTGAAAAAATGATCAAATATGTAAATAAAAATGTCTAAAATCATTAATTACTGACATTAACTGCAGATGTTTTTATTAAATATATGTTGTAGTTTATTTTCGTCTGCCTAAAAAGTAATTCTGAAAAGAATTACAAATGAATATAAAAGTTTTAAATGAATACATGTAAGGATTAAACCGTCTGAAAAGATGTGGGCTGAATCTTCAGCTCAATGTGTCCACTCGTTTTCAGATCACAAGTTCTGTTCAGAAACCTTCAACACACAACAAATCAAAACAACGGTTCAAACGGTTCGTACAGAACGAGAACGACAAACAAAAAACTGAAGTTCCAGCATTTCAAACTCAACGAGAACCAGAACAAGACAGAAGTCCCAATCTTTTAACAGATACACAGTTCTGCTCTTAATTTGTGCTGTATACTTTTGTTCTTGTTTTTTTAAAGACCTGTACCCAAAGTTCATACCGACTCTCTACAATGTCTTCAACCTCTGAAGACATTTTAGTAGCTACTTTTATCTGTCCTTTGTAAACATTTTAAGAGTTCAACTAAATCTTATCGTCATTATGTACACAGTAAAGTCTTATGAGTTCTGATATCGGTAGTTGTCTATATTATGAAAATGTTTTTTTAACAAATCAGATCGTCTGCAAATATAAGCAATAAGGACGTTGCGATATTCATTCAGAAAATTATTTTAAAGGTTTATTTTGGGGGCTTTTGTGTCTTTATTCAGAGACAGGACAGTGGATAGAGTCCCAAATCAGGGACAGAGAGAGTGGGGAATGAACCCAGGGATGCTCACTTGGAGGATTACTGCCTCTGTACGTGGGGCGGGCACACTAACCACTAGGCCACCGACACCCCTCAAAAATGGTATTAATTAAAAGAATACCCAAAAACATGCACAACTTGTGAAAATCATATATATATGTTAAATATGTGTGTGTGCAAACGTACTTGGCAATAAACCTGATACTGGTTAACACTACATATGTGATATTCCCTGTAGAATAAATTCATCTTCTGCTGAATAGAAAGCCTATCAAACCTCTTCCTAAAACACTCTTCTCAGTCTCAACCATGTGGCCAAACACACAACGTCCCCACTGCACTCAAATGCATCCCTCACAAACCACCCTGCATCATGCCAACCCCTCCCCTCCTCACCCTCCTCACCCCCTCAAATAATCACCTTCTGGGAGGTGAAGCGATGGAGACGAAGGGAAAAAAAAATAAAAACAGCAATCTTGTCTTTCAAACGAAAAGGGGGAAAAATATTTTAAGGGGCAATGAATTTGGCGGAGCTGAATAGGATGTTGGTACATGTTTTACTAAAGGAAATATAATGGCAGACTATTATTAGATCACATTAATCACGAGTGTGCCAAAGGCAGTGACAGCCGCGCTGAAAAGGATTGAAAACGCTGGTAATGGATATAAATTACCCATTGTGT